TTCAGAAGAATATTATAAAAACTCGAGACGTCATAATCCTGACCAAAACGAAAGACATACCACAACACTTAATTCTTTGAAAAATAATTGACATTCACTTTTTATGAAAGAGAAGTGGTTTCACCATCCCTGCCAATATCTTGGGTAACTGTGCAGCAATAACTTCAGACATCATTTCTGGAAATTCAACACTCAGCGCCCGGGACTGGATAAATGTATTCAGGCAGTACAGGTGAAGTTGTTTGACAAGCTGTTGTTTTAACAAATGGGTAGGAAAAACATAAGAAAAACAATAAACTTAGGTGCTCATCAAATATAACATTTTTCTAACAATAGAAATACTTTTCAAAATGTTTTCTTCTTATACAAATGAAAGTAATTCCTACTTACGATGAAATATTATAATATGGAAAGATTTAAAATAATAGAAGTCATTTATAATCCCACAGGATAACCAGGGTATACATTTTATATGTTTTCAAGTTCTTTTCCTTTTTATTCATCTATCTATACATACTTAAATACACAGAGTATTATATATATAAATATATACACTTTTTCAAAATGCAATGATTTCATAAATCCTACTTATTAATATTTTGACTCTTCCTATGTCAATAATTCTACATAATCAATTCTATTCTAATATTTTGATCAAAGTAATTAATGTATTATATTATATCATATCACATATTGTGTTATTATAATTATATAATATATTATAAATATTATATATTATATAATATATAATGTATATATTATATTCTATATTATTATATGATATATAATGTATTATAATATTTTGATCAAAGTAATTAATGTATATAGTTTTAAAAGTCAATTAGTAATGTGAGATTCTTAACAGAGGCAGGCACTTGGTCCAACAGTTAAGACACTGCTTGAGATGCCTACATCCCATTTCTAAGTGCCTGGGCTCAAGTCACAGATACACTGCCAATTCCACTTTCCAGCTAGTGCAGATACTGAGAGGCAGCAGGTGAGGGGAGTAAGTGATTGGGTCCCCACTAACCACCTGGATTGAGTGTGAGACTGGATTGAGTTCCAGGCGCCCAGCTTCAGTCTGGCACAGTTCCAGCCACTGTGGGCATTTGAGGGGGCAGGGGGTGGTGAAGCAGCAAATGGGGGTCATTATCTCTCTCTCTCTGCCTCACAAATTAAAAAAAAATTTTTTTTGACATGCTGAGTTAGTGAGAGAGAGAGAGAGACAGAGAGAGAGTTATAGACAGTGAGAGAGAGACAGAGAGAAAGGTCTTCCTTCTGTTGGTTCACTCGCCTAATGGCCGCCATGACTGGCGCTGCGCCAATCCGAAGCCAGGAGCCAGGTGCTTCCTCCCAGTCTCCCATGCAGGTGCAGGACCCAAGGACCTGGGCCATCCTCCACTGCCCTCCCGGGCCACAGCAGAGAGCTGGACTAGAAGAGGAGCAACTGGGACTAGTATCTGGTGCCCCAACTGGGACTAGAACCTGGGGTGCCGGCACCGCAGGCAGAGGATTAGCCAAGTGAGCCACGGCACCAGCCTTAAAAAATATTTTAAACAAAACAACAGCAGTAACAACAACAAAATCCAGTAGGTTTTTTTTAATGTATTTTTCCTATTCTTATTTCAGCTCCCCACACTCCTTTCAACAGTTTTAGACGTGTCTTTTGATATGTATCTATTTCTAATAAAGTTTCTACTATGAACAATGAGTATTTTGGTATCCTATATGACAAATATTTCTCCTCAAATACATATATTTTCTCTTCTCCCCTTTCTTTACATTGTTATATTTCAGTTGGCTAAATAAATGCCTAGCATTTAGATTACAAAGAGCTTGCTTGTTTCCTGTTGGATTACACTTTCTTTCTTATATGACCTGTTTTTAAATATTTATTTATTTGTCAAAGTGGAAGTTCTCTCCTCCCTTCAGAGAAAGGTACCTCCTTCTTTGATGGCCCATTCTTTCCACTGGAATCTCACTCGCAGAGATCTTTCATTTAGGTCTTTTTTCTTTCTTTTTTTTTGCCAGAGTGTCTTGGATTTCCATGCCTATAATACTCTCATGGGCTCTTCAGCCAGATCCGAATGCCTTAAGGGCTAATTCTGAGGCCAGAGTGCTGTTTAGGACATCTGACCTTCTATGAATCTGCTGTGTATCCCGCTTCCCATGTTGGATCGTTCTCTTCCTTTTTAATTCTATCAGTATTAGCAGACACTAGACTTGTTTATGTGATCCCTTTGACTCTTAGACCTAGTTGGTGAACTCAAAAGACTTCCATAGCCTTGGCAACTCATGACAAGAGCCTAGGGTGATTACTGATGCCATAAACAAGTGTGTCAAAAACAGGAGTCACTGTGCACTTACTCCTCATGTAGGAACTCTGTCCTTAATGTGTTGTGCAATGTGAATTAATGCTATAACTAGTACTCAAACAGTATTTTACACTTTGTGTTTCTGTGTGGGTGCAAACTGTTGAAATCTTTACTTAATATATACTAAATTGATCTCCTGTATATAAAGAGAATTGAAAATGAATCTTGATGTGAATAGAATGGGAGAGGGAGCAGGAGAGGGAGCAGGGAGGGGTGCGGGTAGGAGGGAAGTTATGGTGGTGGGGGAAAGCCATTGTAATCCATAAGCTGTACTTTGGAAAATTATATTTACTAAATAAAAGCGAAAAAAGATTTATTTATTTGAACTATATATATATGTATATATATATAGAGAGAGAGAGAGAGAGAGAGAGAGATCTAGACAGAGATAGATATACATAGTTATCAAGAGAGAGCAAGCAAGAGGGAGAGGGGGAGAGAGAAAAAGAGAGAGAACACACTTCCATCTGCTGGTTCACTCCCCATATGGCTGTTAACAGCCAGGAATAGGCCAGGCTGTATTAGGAGCCAGGAACTCCATCCTGGTCTCCCATGTGGGTGGCAAGGGCCCAAGCATTTGGGCCTGCTCCAACTGCCTTTCCAGGCTGATCAGCAGGGAGCTGGATCAGAACTGGAATGCCAGAACTCTAACCTGTTTCACAAGCAGTGGTTCAATCTACTGTCACAACACTGGTCCCATATATGACGTGTTACTATATTGCAAGAGCAAATCATCTGTATTCTCATTTGTACTGTTTTCTCTATACTGCTCACAAAGCCATAGTCAAGTTATGTGACAAAATTTGTTTTTATTTTTTATATTTATCTATTTATTTGAAAAGTGAAGTGACAGAGACAAGGAGATATAGAAAGAAAAAGAGTTCTTCCACCTGCTGATTCACTCCCCAAACTGCTGTAATGGCTAGGGTTGGGCCAGGCTGAAGCTAGGAGCCAGGAACCGCATTAGAGTCTCCTATATGGATTACAGGGGCCCAAGTACTTGGCCCACTTCTGCTGCTTTTCCAGGTGCATTATCAGGGAGTTAGATGGGAAGTGGAGTAGCCAGGACTCCGACCTGGCATTACAGTTAGACAATTCATATCCTCCAATTCCAGCAACTTTTCTTTTTATGATTTCTTACATGCTTTCCTTGATTCTATTTTTTATTAAAATTATATTTATTTATTTAAGAAAGAGACAGAGAGAGAAACAGAATGAACGAACAAGGCACTCCCATCCACTGGTTCACTCCCAAATACCCACAGTGGCTCAAGCTGGGCTAGGGTAAAAGCTGGGAGCTGGTAACACAATCCTAGCCTCCCTCATGGATGGCAGGGACCCAACTGCTAGAGACATCACTGCTACTTTGTAGAGTCACATTAGACAGAAGATGGGATTGGTAATGGAGCTCAGACTCAAACTCGGGCACTGTGATATGGGAGAGAGGCATCCCAACCAACAGCTTAACTGCTATGCTAAAAACCTGCCCACAGATTTTCTTATTTTTTATTCTGGAAATCCTGATTAATTGGGGGATAGAATCTCCTGTAGTTTTCCCATTAATGTGCCACCTCTTCTCTCTAGTTTTCCATGTATTAGTCTTTTGGGCTCTTTTCTGATGTTTTCTTTATATTTCATCCCTTTTATGGATGTTTTAATTTCTGCTCTTTTGTATTTAATAATATAAACGTATTTTGTTGTCAAATGTTCATTTTAAAATGTTTTTTAATTTCATGGACAAAATATCACTCTCATTTCATGGACACTAACGTTCTTATGTGTCTGTGGAGCTTAGATGTTCTGCTATCTACATGAGAGCTTTTTCCTTCAAATTACCTTTTTTTCTTTCATTTTAGAGTAAACAGCTAAGAATCTTGGCTGTTGGTTCATTTTCAGGCAGCCGGTCTCAGAACTGGACCTGGTGAGTACATAGCTGTTTTACACATTGCCTGTCTTTTTTATGTGTTTTCTGAACATAGTAACAACAAAAACTTGCATGCAATGTCTTGACTAACCACATATATCTTATTTTATTAATTGGGCTCTGGTGTTGGTCATTTCTAGTTTATTTTTTCCTCCCTCTGCCTTGATGAATACCCTTGTGCGTAAGGAGTGTATACTGAATTTCTGCCTAATCAATTATTTTTTTCAGATAAATTCTAAAAAATGAAAACTTAAAACCATACAGATTTTAACTTTTTCAGATTGCCTATCAGCAATGTTATTTACAACTCCATCTAAGATGATATGAGAGTCTTATTTTCCACACCCATACTTTTGCTTGTTCTGTAAATACTCAGATAACATCTTTTTAAAAAAATTTAGGCAAAAAATACTTCAAAACATATTCGGGAAAATCTATCATAATTCCTATCAGTTATTAAATACTCTCAAATTGTATATACCAATAAAAGGATATTTGAGTGATCTATAGTAAAGTTTTAAAAGCACAATATAAATCCTTAGTAGTGTGACACAAATACTTTTTTAAAAACACAAATAGAATCTGAAGAAATCATATAAAGTAGAATTTAGATTTAATATTTAAGAAGTTATAGAAATTCAGAAAATAATCTTCGAGTTTCTGTAACATAAAATACTTACATCATGCAAGTTATCAAGAAGTTTTGTGAGCTGATAGAAACGCTGTGAGCTGGAAACAACTCCTTTTTGCCTCAAACCAATTGCCTTGATGAGCTCTCTAATGTAGCTTGATCTCATCTCTTCAAACTGGCTTTGACTTCTTAGTCCTTCCAAAGGAACTATACGAAGATAATTGCAAGTATAGTCAGGTTAAAAAAAGAGGACACTAGGTCATTTATACACTCCTAGTCATTGTCTATATTCCCACTAAACTCAGATCTTTTTGCTTTTTACTTATTAAACTTCTTATTCAGTGAAGTATTAAGCCTTTTTACTGTAATATAAATTTAAAATGTTATCTTAAAAACTAAAAAAAAAAAAGGGAAAAGGAAGGAGATTGAATGGGAGGGAGGAGGAGGAGAATATCATTATGTTCTTAGACTTGTATCCACAAATCATATTGACTCTTAAAAATTAATTAAAATTAAAAAATGAAAAAGATGACACTAACAATTTTTAGAATATAAATTACCAAGCTAGCTAATAATTTATTTTGACTTGCAACTCTTAAAAATCTCTTAAAAAAAACACCTTAAACAGGAAAGAGATAGTGCCATTGATAGCATCCAGAAATAGGAACTTTGTGTTCACTGGAAGCATAGGGTAAGAACAACTCTAGGTAGATTCCAGAACATACCTGTTTACCTGTTTTAGACTTGTATCAATGGGTTAGCTATGTAACTTAGTTAGCATCTGACATTATTTTACAACTGTATCTCAAATACTTGGCTTGATTCAGTTTACAGCTACATGTATTTTTTTAAAATAAGTATTTAAATTTCCTTCTAAGTTTTTGGTTTTTGTTTTCATATAAGACTCAAGTATTTCTCACTAACATTATTCCTGGATAACTTTTCTTGTTCTAATTTTAGCATTGTTTCATAAAGTTTTCCAATGCCTTCTACTGACATGGAAGAAAGCTATTAATTCACATTTTTCTTATACCCAGCCATTTTATACTCTGTTTTTAATTCTAGCACTTTTTGGTTGATTGTCTTTTGTTTTGCTGGTATATAACAATACTATAGTCAAATAATATTTTAATTTTTACCATTTCCAATGGTTGTAGTATTCATTTCTGCTTCTCGATTCATTGCATTGTCTGGAGTTACAGAACAATATTAAATAATAACACTATGGACAAATATCCTTATTAATGGAAATGCCATGTTTCCCATAGTGGCAATTTAGATGGTTACCTCTGAGATCATTAATTCCTACATTCAGATTTTAGGCTAAACTAACAACTAGTCTTTGTTTACACTATATTGTCAATTTCATCAAGGCGTTTCCTCTACATCTTTTAGATCCTTCTGTTGCCAATTATTTGAGATGCCTTGGTTCTCTTCCCAGCAACTTTATTACCAGACATTTCAGGTTCCTTGCTTCACTTGTCTTTGGTTGTGATTATGCTACAAACATTATACTGTACTTAATGCATCTAACTTTTTGTGCAGCCATACCTAGAATGCTGAAAAAAAAATTATATAACTTCTTGGATTCATGCTACTATACATTCACGGTCAACATTTCTACAGAGATGTGCATACAGTTTAAAGTCAACTATACATGCCCAGCAAAGAGAATAAAAGTAACCCTTTTTAAAGCCCTATTTATCCCCTGCACCTCAATCAGATCTTGGCAGCTCCCTCACCCCTAAACATGAGTGTAAAATTATTTATTCTTAGTAATCCCTTTACTAAGATTTTAGTGTAGTTTTGGAGAGAACGATAGAAATATATGTTAACTTTGCCTATTTCTGAGATCTGTGTTTTTTTTTAATTTTTAAAGGTTTATATATTTATTTATTTATTTGAAAGGAAGAGAGAGAGACAGACAGAGAGAGCGCGAGAGAGGTATCTGCTATCTGCTGGTTCAATCCCCAAATGGCTGCCAATGGCCCAGCCTGGGCCAGGCTGGAGCCAAGAGCCAGGAGCCCCATTTAGGTCTCATGTAGGTGGCAGGGGCCCAAGGTCATCGTTCACTATTTTTCCCAGATGCACTATCAGGGAGCTGTATCAGAAGTGGAGCAGCTGGGACTCAAATCAGCACTCATATGGGATGCCTGCTTTCCAGTTTGCAGCTTAACCCACTGTGCCACAACACCACGCCCATTTGTTTGATTTTTTTAATAGCAAATTAGAGGCTTAACTTTGTAACTATCAAATCATTAGATTTTCCTCTGCCAATTTTCCCATTGCATTTGAGATTTGAAAATAATTTTTATTTTTCCAGTTTGTTTTTGTAATGATTGAGTGTTTACATTTAACTTAATTATCTGGTATCTATTTAAAAATGTAATTGGAACTAAATATCCAAATTGATTTTCCTCCAAATGTAGAGTGATTTTTCTCACCAATACTTATTTGTTGCATACTCATTGTTTGGTTCTGTTTCTTTACAGTGCTTAAGTTTTAATGCATACTTCTTGGACTTAACAATTCAGTTAATCTATTCTCTTCCCACGCTACAATAATTGTAGCTTTCTCTCCCTGTCTCTCCCTTTCTATAAACTCTGCCTTTCAAATAAATAAATAAATCTTTAGTAAATTATTATACTTTTCTAGTTACCCCATTATTTTTCTAATGCTTATCTATTTATTTATCTCAATTTGAAGATGAATTTTCATTAGCTTTGCCAAGTTTCTCTACCTCACTCCCCAGCCAAAAATCTCACTAGGATTTTGATTACAATTTGTGAAAAACATAAGAATTATTCCCCAAATGTTTCTGTTTCTCCCTTTTCTTGATGAAACAAGTACCCAAGAAGCCATAGGTATGTCACATCTTCTGCTTACTGCTGACTTAGTGATTGTGGAAGCCTGCATCAAGATACAGCCTCCATTTGCTTGGGTCCCTGAGTGATGGCAATGGACCCAGCCTTCCTACTGATCTGCACTGGACACATGGTGAGTTAGTTGGTTCCCAAGCATAATAGCCTATCTATAAACACAGAATTATGTTAATAATAATAAAAACTAGTTTGAGAAATCTAGGATTATGTGACATTACTGTTGTAAGAGTCATAACCATCAAGCAAAGAAAAGCAAATGTATTTCAGTTGACTCTCTTGGCCAGTCCCATATCAACACCCTTTGTGCATTATATACAGTTTTTTTTTTTTTTTTGACAGGCAGAGTGGACAGTGAGAGAGAGAGAGAGACAGAGAGAAAGGTCTTCCTTTGCCATTGGTTCACCCTCCAATGGCTGCCGCGGCCGGCACACGGTGCTGATCCGAAGGCAGGAGCCAGTATTTATCCTGGTCTTCCATGGGGTGCAGGGCCCAAGCACTTGGGCCATCCTCCACTGCACTCCCTGGCCACAGCAGAGAGCTGGCCTGGAAGAGGGGCGCCCCGACTGGGACTAGAACCTGTGGTGCTGGCGCCTCAGGTGGAGGATTAGCCTAGTGAGCCGCGGTGCCGGCTGCATTATATACAGTTTTATCGAATTAGATTTAAAGACTCCTGGTCAAAATAGGGTTCCCAAAGACCGGAGAAAAGGCTCCAAATCCTAAGATCCTACACTGGTCCCTGCCTTTTCAAAGAAACTCTGCATGAGGAAACTTTCCATTTGAAGAGGTTCTTTCCTTCTGACTGAAGCCCCCAGTCACTTGATATTTGTGTCACGGGAAAGAAGTCCCTGCAAAGATGCAGCTGAGAACGACATTTGGCTTTCTTCAACCCAAGGTATTAGCTGCATGTGGTTTCCTTGCAAATCAGTATGAGTCAAGGGAGCATCAGTTCTTTCAATTTAGGGTTGAAACTACCTATTCACAGGAAGGGCACAGAAAAGGGTAAAAGCAGCTTTTTCAAAAAATATTTAAAGTTTTCCCATCCAGACCCTGGGGGACCCACTGAGACTGTTGAGGGTCCACTGAACGTGGGTGTGTTCTTTGTGAATGAGAAAAAGGGAAATGGATATTTGGCTGTCCTCAGTTGCCCAATGCTATGCTTCGTGTCATTTTTCCTTCTGGGCACACAGATCAGCTATATTTACCAGCATCTTCTGCAGTTAAGGTGGGCTGTGGAAGGTGGACGTGATGCATGATAGGTTCAGGCCTCACCTCCAAACCTCTTCTCACTCAGTGCTCATGTCTACTCAGATGCAATGGAGGACTCCAAGCTGCAAAGACAGGGTAGAGCCACCGGATGGAAAGAGCCCGGAGTTGTCTTGCTAACTCACTGATCCTTCTATTAGTGATAAATACTCTGTTGCAGTGCTAAGCTACAGATCTTTGTAGTTATTTGTTGTAACAGCCTATCTTGAGAAAATGTGTATCTAAATAAAATTGTGTTCATGGTAGACTTGTATGTGTGTGTGTCTATGTGTGTGTGTGTGTGTGTGTTTATGCAGTACTAATAAGTTTATAATACTGAATTAGATGGTTATGAAAAGAAGGTCACTTAATCATATTTTATCCAAAATAAAAAAAGAATTGGCTAAGTCATTTCAGTAGCATATGGTAAGTAAAATATGAAAAATAATCAACTAATTTTATTTTTTTAAAAAAATTACTTATTTGAGGGCAGAGTTACAGAGAGGCAGGGGCAGAGGCAGAGAGACAGGTCTTCCATCTGCTGGTTCACTCCCCAGATGGCCACAACGGCCACAGCTATGCCAATCTGAAGCCAGGAGCCAGGAGCTTCTTCTAGGTCTCCCATGTGGGTACAGGGGCCCATCTTCTACTGCTATCCTAGGCCATAGCATAGAGCTGGATTGGAAGTGGAGCAGCTGGAACTTGAACTGGCACCCATATAGGATGCTGGCACTGCAGGCAGCAGCTTTACCTGCTATGCCATGGTGCCAGCCCTTCAACTAATTTTATTAATATGCATGACAGTACAAAGGTACTTCAAAAAGCCTGCATACAATGGAATTAAAAGATGTTCATTTTGGACAAAAAAGTTCAAATCTGTGCATATATGGGGTCTTCAAAAAGTTCATGGAAAATACATATTATGAAAAAATTATGCATAATGAAAAAATTTGCACAAAAATAAACTTTTCATCCATTTTTCCATAAAGTTTTTGAAGTGCTTTTGTATACTGGGTGCTTCTCCTCTAGTTACAACCTAAACTTTGTACTTGTATATAATTATATGATCATATTCTTGCATGAAGAGTTTCCAAATCATGTAAAAATTAAGAAACCATCTTGTAAGAAGCTTCTTGTACTCACTCACTTGTATTAAGAAGTAGTAATACTTTCATGCAGAGGAACTCTTCTTGGCTAACTTGAAGCTTGACAAACTCCTGCGGTATCTGCCACATGGTAAGGCATAGTGAATAGAATGATGATTCTTTCATCCGCTGTCTTGCACCACACACAACACATGCAGGAAAAGAAAAACAAAAAGAAACACATAACAGTGTCTTAGCCAGTTTACATGATTTATCAGGGAGTACGATTTGGCAATTATGTGTTGTTCACTATCACTATGACTTTTAATATATATACTCAATATTTGGAATTTCAAACATCTTATAAACATTTTCATAATAATGAATATTTCAGGTTAAGAAATGTTAAAGTTAGAAAACTGTTCAATATGAGTCCATATGGAGCAGGATTAATATTTTTGCTCACTTTATTATCACATATCCAGTAAATTAAAAGAGGAGAGGAAAGTAGTTGGAGCTGAGAATGTGGGGCTGAAGAATGCTCAGAACTTTGTTTAGTGATTTTTTTCTACGAAAACACAGATAAGTCTATTTTTATATATTACTTGGTGTGCAATTCAACTGATTCAGTTCACAGAAATTTACCACACTGTGATTGTATGCCCTTCTCTATGGGAAATGTATGGCAACACAGAACAAAAAACTTAGCAAACACTAAATGATAAGGTTAAACACAAATTCGAAAGTTGACGAAACTTATCTAAGGTGCTTCCTTAATCACATACAGTTATAATATACAAATTAGTCAAATGAAATAAACAAAATAATGGAAAGAGAGTTAGATTTCAGCTGAGAGGAGCTAAAAATAATCCTGACATCCAAATTCTTAGCCTTAGTTTCTCAAACTGTAAAATGAAGAATGTAGATTCTTAACCTATTTCAAGAGATGTTAGGTAAAGAAGGAATGAAACATAAAAATTATCTGTAAACTATGAAGACTTACACACTGTAATTATTAAGTTATATAGTTATGTCAACATTTATACTACCATGAAAATACTCTTATTTGGTAGGAGATTATATGTAGAAAATCAATTACAGCTATTTAAGCATAATAAAACAAACTGAAATATTTATCCTTAGATCTTTACAATAAATTACCAGTCCATTTTTTCCTGAAGGAAAACAGGAAATGTTTTTAATTGTTGAAGGTAAGACAATACTATATCTAGCAAAAGTATTTCAAGTTTACATCATTATATTCATTAGTACCAATGTAGTAACTTTAATTTGATAAATTTTTAATTTTGTCTTTAAATATATTAATTTTGTCTTTAAATATATTTCTTGATAAATTCTTGAAGCTTAAGAGATTGGATATGAGACAAGTAAAAAAATTCAAAATATCTAATTTCCAATAAAATTATACAATTTTATTAACATTGCCATCATCAAGTTTTGTCCTGAAGTAATTGTAAAAACTTTTCAAAATTACATTGTTTAGGAAACTAAATATTTGATCATCTACTGAAATACAATTTTCAAACATTTTCTGAAGTTCATTTATTTATTTGGAAAGGAGAGAGAGAGAGGGAGAGAGAGAGAATGAGAATGAGAAAGAATCTTCCATCCAAATGGCTACGACAGTCAGTTCTGGGCAAGATTGAAGCCAGGAGCTAGGAAGTCCATCCTGGATTCCCACATGGGTGGCAGGGGCCCAAGTACTTGGGCCATTTTCTACTTCCTTCCAAGGCACATTAGCAGGACGCTGGATTGGACGTAAAGCAACTGGGACTTGAACCAGCACTGGGATATGGGATGCCAGCATTACAAATGGTGCCTAATCCACTATTACAATGCTGGCCTCAAATTTCCAAAATTATCTCACACACACACACAGACACACACACACACACACACTAACGAAGAACAAAAGTTACTACTTACTCATTTAATATTAGATCAGGTGCAAAATACAGCATCTGCCCACTGACATGTTTGTAGGATCTCCATCCTAGTCCAAATACCATTAAACTCATCCAAGAATACTGGATGAGAGTTATCTGGTCATCAATATGTAAGTTTCGAAAACCTACAAAATAAATGTTAAAAATAAAATGAACAGAATAATCACTTAATTGTGTCAAAAATGTTGAAATTACGCAAATATTTGAAACTAGTTACAAGTACGGAAATATTTTACCCTAAAATCAGTAAATATTTAATAAGTAAGACAGTTTCGAAAATAAAATGGGGGGAGGCAATTTGGCAGTTGTTTACAATTAATCACTGTAATTTAAGAGCTTTGTGACGTATCTAATTGAATCAATCATCACTCATTCATGAAACACACCCATTTATTCAGAATCATTTTTCTGACAGACACTGTGTTAAAATGCTGGGTTACAATAAGACCCAAACCTTGCCCTCAAAGAAGCTCACAACTCGGCCTGAGCAAGCACGTGAGAGCTGTGATGGAGAGCATTAAAAGGCCATGTGCCAGGTTAGGAAATCTTTCCTAAAAGACAGAGATAATGCTTGCATACCAGATAATCAATTTGTTTAGGAATCTCAGTTCTTTAAAATTCAAACATAAATTGGTTTTATTTTGTAAAACTATTGTTTTCAGTTATAATATATCTAATTCTCCTTTAACAAAATTTAATCATATCTTTGGTACACTCCATGGTTTTTTGGTTATGTTTGTGTTTTTAAAATTTAAGCCAATCTTGCTTTAAACTTCTATGTGGCTTAACAGGTTTTGTGTGTGTGTGCATGTGTGTGTGTGCACCTGTGCGCATGCTTCGATGTTTCACCCTCTTTTAGGCTAAACCCTGATGCTGACTGCAGAGGGAGATGGCAGGGAACAGGCAAATGTATGTTGATGTAATGGACACAAGCCTTCTTCATTTCTTCCTGACTCTTCAGAAAAGATCACAAGATCAATGATGAAGAACTTAGAAGGAGAGGCAAAGAGGTGCTTTGAGATACAGGCTGGGATCAGATCATGGAAGGTCTTGTATGTCTAAGAGGGAGCAGTGCAAGTTCCATGGCTTTACCTGTATCGCAGAGGGATCCTTAGTATGGGGGACGCGCAGGGGTAAGTCCCAGGGTCAGGGAGAGCAGTTGGGAGCCACTGCCAAAGGTGAGGAGAGAGATGAGTAAACGTCTGAAATGAGTCAAGTGGAGGAACAGAGAGGACGGAATGCATCAGAGAAGTTTTACAGGGCAAAATCAAAGAGATTGGCAAGTAAGGGTATGCAGGTAGGAAGAAGGACTGAAGTCTATCTTTGAGTATTTTTGCTTGAATTGTTAAGGGCGATTATAGCATTGCTGGGGAAAAAATTAGGATAAACAAGCAAAAGAGAAATGGTGCACTTTGGAGGTGTTTGAGGGCCATCAGATATATCCAGTTGTACATATGAATTAGAAGTATGGAGAGACCTCTTGGCTTGAAATATAAATCTGGAAATATTTGTATGTAAAAGTAACTGAAACAATAAAATTAAGCAGTATGGAAAAATAACCAATGTTCTGGTAGAAGCATTCACTACTTTCCCTAAAGCTGTGTAAATAAGTATTTCCCCTAAAAACCCACCAAATTCCACTAACAAATGACTTAGTACAAAAGTAGTAAAACTTGTTATCAAGGACAAAACAAACCACAACCATTTCTTGACCATGCCAATCATCTCAAGACAGGCAGCAGAAAAGCAGAGGGCTGTCTGCTCCTCCCTGTACCCCACTTGGAACCATTTTCATGTGAATGGTGGAAGACTGCTAGTCTCTTTTTAGAGCTCCTTGATCTCAGGGTACCAAAACCAATGCATATGCACCATTAAGGATGCCACAGCAGCAATGTACCCTTCTTTTGTGTGTGTGCTTCTCTTCAGCATCTAATCTTCCCTTCCTCTCTCCTCTCACCTCCACTTGCCTTTCTTTGTGTGGACAGAGTTCCTCACTGGTCTTAGTTCAGTGAGAGCAGCTACCTCACCTTCCCATCAAGGAAGCTGGCTAAAGACTGCTTCTCAGGGCTTGCGGCCTGGGTTTGGCCCATGGCACACATATTGTCAGGACTTTGAGCCAGAAAATAATAAAGCTAAGACAGAGTTTCTAGTTATTTTTTGATGGTGGTGCTACCCAGTGATAGTGGGATCCAGGGGATGTATTTGTGATGCTTGCTTATTTAAGCTGCAGAGATGCCCTGGTTTCTTGCATATTCTAAGCTTGTCCTTTAGCTCCTATTCAGGGAATCCCTGGGATCCCTTCAATAAATTACTTTTTCTCCTATTTTTGATAGCCAGAGGTTTTTTAGTGGTTTTGATTGTTTTTATAATTAGCATAATCTGTTTTTATTCCTAGAGTCCAAGAATCCTGATTTATGCAGGTGTGAAAAGACTGTAAAAACCAGTCAAGAAAAATTTGGCATGCAGTTTTCACAGTGCTTTATTTTTATAAAACATAAATCCATCTTCAAGTACACATCTAAATATTACCTCTCCTTAAATAAGTTGTGACTCTTAAATCATAAATCTAGTATGCAAATGCTGCTGTGTAAATTGAATATTTAACATGTTTAATGAAGATGGATAATAAATTCTTTAATACAGTTTAGAACCATTTGTTAAAGGATCAATGAATTTTCCTAATTTTTAAAAAGAAAGACTTCCTAAATGGAGGTACACAGATCTCTATGTAACCAGATCTCTGTCTTTGCTTTGTTATTTACTGGCTCAAAGTCCTTTCTGTTGCTTTGCTGTCTCCTTAAGTTACAAGTCTGAGAGAAGACCCAAGTTCCAGTCGTGGTTCTACCACTTACTGAATGCCACATTGGGCAAGACAGTTAACATCTCTGAGCCTAAATTTCATTATAAGTAAAATCACAGTAGTAATGGTAACTAATTCAATGAATTGCTATGAGACTCAAACAGGGTAATTATGCACTCGAGACATACTGTGCAGATATGTATTAGTCTATCAAAGAATCTTGTAGAATTGCTCATTGGCCAAATGGCTATGTGAAAAGCACTAATCAATCTTATAGGAAGTCTCTAATTTTGAAACAAAATAAGATAAAATATATTTCAGAATGCCTCTTTATATTACAGAGCCTATCTGATACAACTAAAATATAAGTGCTATTGATGGAAATAAAATCCAAAAGATAAATTAAATGCTCTGATATATATATATATTTTCCAGAATATATATTACATAATGATGTCATTATATATTATGTATATATATGTATATACATAATGATGTAAATTATATATTTCATATATATGAAAACAGTAGGCTCATAGGAAATTAGGCTTTTAATCAGATTTATTAAAATATTAACAGTTTGTTTACAATATTCTAGAATATATCCACTATTATCTATACTCTCTTGGTCAATTTTGTAAGTTTTGAAAGGCAGATTTTATAATATTTAAATATCTGGGCCAGCGCCGTGGCTCAATAGGCTAATCCTCCGCCTGCGGCGCCAGCACCCCGGGTTCTAGTCCCCGTCAGGGCGCCGGATTCTGTCCTGGTTGCCCCTCTTCCAGTCCAGCTCTCTGCTGTGGCCTGGGAGTGCAGTGGAGGATGACCCTGGCCCTTGGGCCCTGCACCCACATGGGAGACCAGGAGAAGCACCTGGCTCCTGGCTTCGGATCAGCACCAGCGGCCATTGGAGGATGAACCAATGTTAAAGGAAGACCTTTCCCTCTGACTCTCTCTCTCTCACTGTCCACTCTGCTTGTCAAAAATTTTTTAAAAAATAATAAATAAATAAATATCTGCCTTAACTTTGCTATACTTTTCCACTGCAGGCTTTTTTTTTTACATTGACCTTGGTGTAATTTTAAAAATTTTACAAAATTAGATAGCAGTTAACTGATTTGTTGTTTCTTCAAAAGCTGGTATTCTGTTCACATTTACATTTTTATACTCACTGTTTGCTTCGTTTTTTTTTTTTCTATTGGCATTTTTGTATATTTTTGCATTGTGGGCTTATTAAAAACTTGAAACAAAGGAAGATTTTCATTACATTATAAAAGGAAAATGTTATTGAAACAAAGTAAAATTTTTCATATTACCAATATTCATAACAGAAAGTATATTTTCATCCAACAGAATGGAATAGAACTGAGAGAATACCCTTCAGTTATTTCATCTGTTAGAGAACTTAATTGTGATAAATGTTCAATGTTAAATTGACCTGAACATGCAATTTTCCCCTATTCACTGTAATATCATTCATTGCCTCACACTGAAACAAAGACAGGAACACTGAGATCAAATGCCCAAAGGTGATAATGATCAGGTAAACTTTGTACATTTGAGATGATGACCAAAATTAAAGACCTTCTCATGGAGTAGTGATGGATGATCACTAATTATGTTTAATAAGTAGTTTTAAAAAATCCTTTCCTTTTAACTGACTCAGCCTAATAGTTCCTGAAAAAAAAAAAAACCTGGTTATAACTGTCCAATTCTTAATGCCTCAAAAATTTTAAAGAAAGTATATACTAAAGAGATGCCCTGCATGGCCAAGTAGGTTCTTTCCTCTCACTTCCAATGTTCCAACGTGAGGAACTCTGTAAAGAAAGGTAATATATTTGAAATAGCTAATCTACAAGAGCAGGGCATAAATATCTCTGTACTTTAGTATGAACTCTGAGTAGCACAAAGGAGTTTCAAGAACTTTTGTTTCAATTAAGTAAGGCATTATAACTTCTTATGCTAGTTCCATATTTTCTATTTCGTAAGTATTTTTAAAGCACTCATTTGTGATAAGACATTATGCTTGCAACTGGGCATAAAGACAAAAAAGAAGCAGAGGGGGCTTGTGCTGTGGCATAGCAGGCAAAGCCATTGCCTACAGTACCGTCATCTCATATAGATACCGGTTCAAGTCCAGGCTGCTCCATTTCCAATCCAGCTCTCTGCTGATGGCCTGGGAAAGCAGTAAAAGATGGCCTATGTGTTTGGGCCCTGCACTCTTATGGAGACCTGAAGCTCCTGGCTCCTTGCTTTGGATTAGCACAGCTCCAGCCAGTGCAGCCATTTGGGGAGTGAACCAGTGGATGGAAGCCTCTCTCTCTC